AGCAATGCGGGGAGAGGCTCCAAATGCGGGGAGAGGCTCCAATGAGGAATGGAAATAAAAACTCAACCAAAAGCACTTAAATCTTTACAAAATAAAACATTTATAAAGCTTCTGGGGAACCCCGAGACAATAAAGTCCTGAGATAGGGCAAGAGTTAAGAATCCTACACCTTCAAAAGAACCTGTGTGTATATAAAAATATAATTAGTGAACAGAACTTCTGAACTAAACCTGCATCCTTTCTAATGACCTCCATGGGCTGCAAAAAAAAAAAGATGTCTGATAGTATTGAGTCTTAGGAGAAATGAACCTACTTCTTATTTGATTTATTAGCTCAGTAAACAGTTTCCAAATGAATTTATGGTCTGAATTGATAGTTGTAAATCTCCTTCCATGAAGCATGATGTTCCTTTTGTAGATTATTGTCCAATTTAGATTAAAAGAGACGATAAAGCAGGGTATCCTTTAGGGCATGGCTACCTTGTAATTGACTGCTCATTCTCAGTGAGTACGTCCGCAATGGATCAAACTGTCAAACTAGGCAGCACTGATTAAATATGAATCAATATTCAGTTACTGCATCGACTATTTCTCACCTAAAATCAACACAAAAACGTGTGTGACCAGTCATAGTAAAACCTTAATATCAGTCAGGTGTGGGAATTGCCTGTGTAGGATTTAATCCCTCTAAAGTGCTAAAGTGAAACCACATGCAATATAGCTATGGTGAGTTGGTTGTTTATTTCCTGACTCCTGCACATGTAAACATCAATGTATAGACTATTAATGTAACAAGGTAACTCAAGGAGGAATGTCCTTCGTATTAGGTGTACACTGACCCTGTGCGTCAGACATTCCTATAGTCTCATCATGTGTCTGTGATCATGATGGCATTACGTTTTATTAAATTAGATGTCCGTGTGCCAGTGATACTAATCATCAACAATGTGGGTAGAGAGGGAGCTTTAATGTCACAAAAGCTGGTTTGCAGCAAACAGGTTGCAGTATGACCTCACTTCAACTGTCAAGTACCAAACAACGCTGACACAGTTAAATGTTCAGTATTTCTCATTTACCGCTGATTTTTATACATATAAAGCTGCAGCCTACATTTCCCATAATGCACTGCATCCACTGACAGTTTAATCTGTGATTCGGGGCACATGATAGAAGTTGGCCTTCAGGGATTTCTGCCAGAAAGCCTAAACTACTTGGTTAGCTTCAGGAGAAGATCATGGAAGAAAGTCCTGACAGGGCAAAACACACAAGGCTAATGTAGCCTCGAGCTGCTAGCATCAAGCAGAAATAAGGAGCGGGCTACAGAGAACCCAAAGATTTGTTCATTCTATACAATGTCTCTTATTTATTTTTCATTTTTCTACGTTTTTACGAGGTCAAATCTTGATAAGATAGAATACAGAATCAACTCTCACAGCAGAGAAGTCACTTCACCAGGTCAAAACATGATCAGTGTCTGAAACAGGCTGTTACTCACCGGTACTTCTGATTTTTGCCCACATATATATTATTAACGGATGTACCCACCACTGAGGTCACAGAGGTCAAAGCCTCTGTATTTTTTCCAATGGGTGTACAATGAAAGTCGTGAAATAACTGCCTTAAAATAACTTCACTCTGACGCTTTGCATGCCACCAACTCTGCTGAGCAAGTTCAGATTTTGGACTTCAGTATTTCTAAAACCCTGTGTACAGTAATGAGATAAGATGTTGCTAGTCCTTGTGAAGATGTAGCCAGTTCTTGGGTCAGGGTTTTGATGAATTAGGGTACTGACACCTTTTTTGGTCCAATTCGGGCACTGAACATGATGTATTCTTCAGGCAGTCAGTCAAATCTCAAATGTCAAAGAAGTCAAGTCTGAAATCCCCATTTTTGTGACTTAAAACTGTACTTATAAAACTCCAAGTCTATAGTCCACAGCTCTGCTCGAAGCGATCCCTGTTGAGCTACAAAAAACATTTAGAAAATAATGTTTCTTCAGATTTTTTCCCTCCAACCGGATACATAAAATATCTTTTATTGTTATTTCAG